CCATCAGAGTATTTTAGTTTGACCATTTTAATGCCCTTTTCCCGGATGCTCTGCACAACAGGATACTGGAGGGTCGGGCAGAGAAGGGGGTGGGGATTGTGTGTTGTTTGAATATTGCTCTTCCTTTTTGTTCATCACCATACAAATGTCAAATGCTCGTTAAGTTTCATAACGGTAGCTACTCTGTCTCCTAATGTTTGAATGATCTATTTTGGCATGTGTGATATGTGTAAAATTCTACTAATATTAGTTTTATTGGCTTCAAATTAAATTAGTTGGTGAGATCTGTTTCTGTAATAGTATCTAGTATCTGCCTTATGCACGATAATGTGTAATTATAAAGCACGTATGTCCCGACTGATCGTAGTCCGTTCTGGACGAGTTGGTGAAATCAATTGTCGCAAGTAGGCTAAGGATTTATATATGTTTTTTTTTAATTGCAAAAGAAATAAATAACCATAAGAAACTATAAAATGTTACAGATATTCAGGACATGAAAAATCGTTCATTTATTGTAGGGACGTAGCAAGCGCGAGAAAGAAATCACCCCAAAAATCCACAACACAACTACAACAAGTTGTTCGAATAATTCTGATTGTGGGAATGATCAACAAATGCAATACTCAGAGGTAATTTCCGCCAAGGCTAGTGACAATGGAAATTGCTATCTGAAAATTGTTGCGGATTATGGTAATGAACATAAAGAGTCGTACCATACTGTTAAAAGATACATGACGGAAGATTCAGGTAGATTTTTTCTATTGACTGTTGTGCGATTCAAGTCTTTTATATTTCATAGATAAATTTAAGTTGTGAAAACTGCAACAAAACGTTCATATTTCAGTGAAATTACTAAACGAAAAATTATTACGGTAGTTGATGGCATTAATTTACTTTGAGACTAACAACTATTTGAAGAGGAGTGTTAGTAAGTGATAAGTGAGCTCTTACACTGCTACAATACCTAAATAATTGTGTTCTACTCATGTATCGATGGTCCCAGTTTAGATAAATATAGAGAGCCCAGACATTGCAGTTCGATCATCGAGGAGGCGAAATGCTTCATGACAATTGATCTCGGACGTTGAGTGAAATGGCCATTTGTCTCTCTCATTTGTGTCCGGTTTCTTACGGATAAATTGGTAATTCTTGGAAAGTTATCAAGGAAATACGGTAAGATAGACTGACCGCCAAGAAATATAACATCAAGTATTGAATCATGCCCTAAATAATTCTAAATAATGCCTGCATTGACAGTTGTAGTGCATATACAATACTTTAAGGCCGGTTCACACAATAGAATTTAAACGATTATATAAAAAATGTTTTTTACAGATGAAGAGAAAAGGAATACTGTCATTTCGGTTGCAGTAATTCTAGTTGACTTTGCACTGATTCTTACAGCAGCTGCATATTTAATATGCTTACATCATAAAAAAATGTAAGTTTGCTCAATGGAAGTTTTATAAATTAGTAATTGCAATAATTAGTATATTTTATATAATCAAGAGGGCATAAACGTAGATAATAAATATTTGACAGTAAAAATTAAGTAATGAAGCTACATCAATATTAAATTGTTTTTATCATGTGATAAATATTGTTTTTGTCTATATAATAAATATATATTTATTCAGTTCAATGAATATATGTATTTGGAGACAATTCATCACGTATGATAAAGGAAATAGTGACAGTGGACGGTTTTCACAGACAAGTACGTATTTCTTTATTCTTTGATTATTGCACATTTTGACTGTTTACACTAATGATTTACTTAAACAAGTACACAATTACCACTGCTTGCAAAACTTGGGCATTTTAGGGATTAACATTTATTATGCTCCCCGAAGGAAGAGCATATAGTCGCTGCCTTGTCCGTCAGTCCGCCCTTCTGCCCTTCTGTCCGTCCGTTGTCTTGTCCGGAGCATAACTTGAAAACTTTGGAGATCATTTGTTTCAGCTTCACACAGTGGTAGAGGACATCGAGGCGGAGTGCAGTGTCAAAGAACCATAACTCTATTTTGCCCCGTTTTTGAATTATTTTAATACTCAGGACAACAAATCGGTGAACTAAATAAAGTGACTTCATTTTGGAAGCTAGTGTAACGGGTTTCGATATGATTTGAAAAAAAAATGTGACTGTATGTCTCTTTAAGACATGGTTAGAAATAACGAGTATGATGTGTAATGCATCACATAATTTTCATTATTTCATTTAAAGATAATGTTAATTATGCCCCCTCCCCTTCAAAGAAGAGGGGATATGTCTGTTGGTCCGTTGATGCGTAGACCAAATGGTTTCCGATCAATAACTAAAAAACGCTTAGGCCTAGGAACTTCAAACTTTGTTTCATGATTGTTCATGACCAATAGATGACCCCTTTTGATTTTGGTCACGGGGTCAAAGGTCAAGGTCACATTGACCTAGTATGTAAAAACGGTTTCATATCAATAACTAAAGAACGCTTAGGCGTAGGAACTTTAAACTTAATATGATGATTGTTTAGGACACCATAGTAAATTTCCCCTTACGTATTTGGGGCCAAGGGGTCAAAGATCAAGGTCACATTGACCTTGTAGGTAAAAACGGTTTCCGATCAATAACTAAAGAATGCTTCTAAACTTAGTATGATGATTGTTCATGACCAGTAGATGACCCCTATTGATTTTGGGGTCAAGGGGTCAAAGGTTAAGGTCACATTGACCTTGTAGGTAAAATTGTTTTCAATCAAAAACTAGAGAAAGCCTAGGCCTAGGAACTTTAAACTTGGTATGATTATTGTTTATGACCAGTAGAAGACCCCGATTGATTTTGGGGTCAAGGGGTCAAAGGTCAAGGTAACATTGACCTTGTAGGTATAATGGTTTCCGATCAATAACTAATGAATACTTAGGCATAGGAACTGTAAACTTGGTACGATAATTGTTTATGACCAGTAGATTACCATTATTGACTTTGAGGTCAAGGGGTCAACGATCAAGGTCACAACTTTGTAGATAATTTTTTTTCCTGATCAATAACTAAAGAACGCTTAGGCCTCGGAACTTCAAACTTGGCATGAATATTGTTCATGACCAGTAGATGACCCCTATTGATTTTGGGGTTAAGAGGTCAAAGGTTAAGGTCACATTGGCTTTCTAGGTAAAAACTGTTTCTGATAAATAACTTAAAAGTTCTAAGGCCTAGCACCTTCAAACTTCGTATGATGATTGTCCATGACCAGTAGATGACTCCTATTGATTTTGGGCTCAAGGGTCAAAGGTCCAGGTCAAATTGACCTTGAAGGTAACAACTGTTTCCAATCAATAACCTGGCAAAACATGAGCCTTTGGTCCTCAAACTTCATAGATGCATTGGTCTTGGCAAGTAGATGACCCCTTTTGATGTTGGCGTCAAGGGGTCAAATGTCAAGGTCACATTGACCTTTTATGTGAAAACAGTTTCCTATTAATTACTAGACAAACCAAGGACCCTTGACCTTCAAATTTCACATGTGCATTGCTTTTGGTCAGAAGATGACTTCAATGGATTTTTGGGGTCAAGGGGTCAGATGTCAGGATCATATTGCCATTATAGGCAGAAACACTTTCTGATTAATATCTCAACAACTCATGGGCCATTTACCTTCAAACTTCACAGGTCTATTGGTCTTAGCCAGTAGATAACCCCTTATTGATTTAAGGGTCAAAGGTTAAAGTCACATTGACCTTGTAGGTAAAGACGGTTTCCAACCAATAACTCTACAACTCAATTTGCCTTGGTTGATATTTTCATTAAACTAAAAATGCTTTTGGTATATATACACATTGGAAGGTCTTATGTAATATAACAAATTGGCTGTCCTAAAATTTATGCATATAATTATTATTTGGTAAGATTTGTGATAACTTTGTCATAAAATTGCTGCGCACAACCTGTACGGTCACAATTACCTATTGACATGTTATGACCAGTAGATAACCCCTACTGATTTTTGGTGACTAGGTCAAAAGTCAATAACAATTACCTGACCACATGACTAATTGGCTGCCGATATGCCCATATAGTTTTACAAACATATCTTGTTGTGTTATTGATTTAAATCATATTTATATTAAATAAACATTAGATAAACAACGATATTAAAATGTCATATATTGTGCATTAAATGCTTGACGATTTAACCAAGAATAACATGATTGTTTCTTACAATAACTGTTTTATACTATGAAATTTTCAGTAATTAATTTTCCAGAATTTAATGGTTTTCAGAAAACGAGACGTATAAACAAAGTCAAAGAAAATCTTGCCAAAAAAATGAAGAACAAAGCAAGGAGTTCAATTCAAAAAACGAAGACTCACAAAGATACAATGATTTAAGGTAAATACACTGACGTTGCTGAACAGTTTAAATTTTTTCTCTACAATTTATGTCAGTTATTCTAAGCAATCACTTTTCTGGATGATAAGGGACAAAATTATAACTTGATCGTAATTATCGCAAAATAAGAACTTTCTATTATTCTATCTCTCTGCTATTTCTTTGCATGTATGAAAACATTGAAAAGCAAAAAAAGAAAGATAATCGCATTTATCATCCATCTAAAACATTTAATGACATTTATCGCATTATTGTAGCTTATCGAAGAGTAAATAACCAGTTAGGTTGTTTTTTTTGAGTTGCTAGACCATTTTTTAGCTCGACTTTTTTTTGAAAAAAAAGTAGAGGTATTGTTATATAGTCCTGGCGGCGTTGCCGTTGATGTTGCGGTAGCCGTTTGCTGTTGCCGTTGACGTCCGCAAACTTGTACCTGGATCATAACTTTTTTAGTTCTTGGTGTATTGTCTTCATACTTGGCCACAACCCTTGGGACAAGACCTTTCAGTATACCACACCAACCTTGACCTTCATCCATAAATGAACTTGACCTTCAAGGTCAAAAGTCCAAAAATTTTGCTTGTTCTTGCTATTATTGGCTGAAACTTTGTTATTTTTGAATGGATTGTCTTCAAACTTGAACATGATAATCTTCAAGGATAGCCCTTAAAAATAACCAGACAGACTTTGACTTTCACTCATAAATGACCTTGACTTTGAAGGTCAAATTATTGAAATTCTCTTTTTTTTGGCTATTATTGGCTGTAACTTTGTTATTTTTAAATGAATTGTCTTCAAACGTGAACATGATAATCTTCAAGGATAGCCCTTTAAAAATAACCAGACAGACCTTGACCTTCACTCATCAATGACCTTGACTTTGAAGGTCAAATTATTGAAATTTTCATTCTTTTGGCTGTAACTTTGCTATAATTGAAAGGATTGACTTCATATTATAACAGAACATTCTTAAGGACAAGACCTTCATGTTTATCAAACTTAAATTGGCTTGGGCTCTTTACTGACCTTGACCTTGAAGGTTAAATTACTGATTTAATATATATATATATAAATGCGTATGTATATATATACAAAATATATAGACAAAACTAATGTGACAAGATAGACGGTTTAAATTCATAAAAAGGAAACGTTAAGATTTGTTCTTTGCTTTTAGAAAAAGTAAACGTCGAGCGTTGCCCCCGCCCGGCGATGGCTCTTGTTGTTTGTTTAAATGTTGAAAGAACTTATGACAAACATTTCAGTTGTTATAATGAGTATTTATTTAACAACCTTTCAGGAAAGAAGGCCTAACACAAAGACTTAGTGGGTATGATGGAACGGAAGATCTTACCATAAGTGCCCCGGATTTAAACTTAGATTTCCCAAAACATAATGAGGAAGAGGTAAGTACTGAAGCAAATGACATGTCTGTCAAAGAACCTAAAATTAACGGCCTTTCTACAGGTCGAGCTGTGCCAGGAGTTGGAGACGAAAAAGATCTATCATCTAAAACCATAATTGATATTAATCCAGACAGAGATGTTGTCGAAAATGATGAAAATCAACAGCAATATTTAGATGATGGTACGCTCGTAAATGATGAGAGAAATGACCTGTCTGCCGAAGAACTCACAGTAAATGACCATGATCAAGATGTGTCAGAAATTGAAGAAGTGAAAAATTTGCTATGTAAAGAACAAACCATAATTGATCTTTATCCAGATAGAGATGAGCTCGGAAATTATGAAAAACAGAAACACCAGCTTGCTAAACATCATAAGTTAGATGATCAAATACTCGAAAATGATGAGAGAAATGAGCTGTCGGCTAACGAATGTACAGGAAACGACCATTTCCTAGGTAAAGAAGTGTCCGAAATTGAAAAAGAACTGTTATCTAAAAAACAAACAATCATTGATCTTTACACAGATAGAGATAACCTCGAAAGTGATGAAATACAAAAATGCATGCTTGATAAACGGCAGTATTTAGATGATGACATGTTCGAAAATGATGAGGAAAACGGCATATGTGCTAAAGATCCGACAGTAAACGGCCATATCTTAGATCAAGATGTGCCAGAAATTAAAGAAGAAAAAAAGCTGTCATCTGAAAAAGAAACGGTAATTCATGGTGATTTAGGTGTGCTTGAAAATGATGAAAAACAAAAATACCTGCCTGCTAAACAACATGGTTTAGATGATTATTTGGTTGAAAATGAAAAAACAAATATGTTATCTAAAAAACAAACCATTATTGATAGAGATGAAAATGAAGAGTACCATTCTGCGGAAGAATATGATTTTATCTACCTTGATAATCAAGATGAACATGTGGTTATGTAATAAACAAGCTTTAAAAACATTCTTACATTATCAACAAAAATCCATGGTTCACTTTTCTTTTTTTTTCTTTTTACGTTTTCGTCGTTGACTTAAATAGATTTTTCCTCAAATAGTACTACTCTTTCTAAGGTGTATTTTAATTCTTTGTTGGTTTATTTTAGTAATCTTGATTTTGTAATAAAGGACACTTAATTAATTATTCGTATATATACATAACTTTGATTTTTATTTCGCTATTTAAATGAATGAATTAATCTAAGCTTTGCACAGACTGTCTTGTAATCAGATTGTAATGTTTATGAAATAATAATATAGCTTAACTCGGGATGTTTCGAACATATAAAATACGTTCAAGATTCAGATTGGCAATCTAAAGAATCAAACATATTTTATTTTTTTTAAAAAATATTCTAACGTTTTTTCTTTCGCAACGATTTAAGATAGATATATCATACAATGAATTTCAAAAGATTGACTTTTTATAGTGAAAAATCAATAATAAACAATAAAATGTTTATAAGTGTTTTGACACAATATAAAACAACACAAATTAGACATTTATTATGAAGGAAATTCCATTGGTCGCTTCGACTTTTGATTTTTTTTATAGTAAAATATAGATATATATTTTGATTTGTATCTGTTGATTCTTTTAGTTTCACAGTATGAATACACAACATACAGTTTAAAAAAACAAACAACAGATTCAGTTATAGGGAATGCTGACGTCTCGTACATAATGTGTGCATTCTCATATTCTTTTGTTAGAATTTCCTATGCAATTTTACCTACAGATGAACATAGTATATTTGTAATGCTATATACAGGCCTTTTTAAAGTAGACGCTAGTGTATAAGTTATACAAGTTGCTGACGGGATATACGGGAGAATAGAGCATGAATGATATTAACATGATCCGAGGCGCCCGTCGAAGATAAAAAAAATCGATTAGCTAGTTTATTTTTTCTCCCATATATCTCGTCAGCAACTTGTATCACGAATTTAGTCTATGAAAAACTGTTTTGTTAGATCATACGAATGTTGAAATTTTACTTTTGATCAACTTTATAATCGAAGATTCATTAGATATAGCTCTGATACCCTTTAAGGCTGATTCAAAGAAGCGCGGGATAAACGTTTCACAATAAATAGTTATTCAAATATCAAGTCATAATAGCGGTGTATGCTGTTACTTTTTGAAGTAATGACATTTATAGAGAAATATGTGTCTACGAATAGAAATACATATGTGCGCTTCTATTCTGCACGGTATACCCTGCATCGAATCAAAATTTGAAAATAATATTTGCATAATTATTTGATGGATATATCATTTCGTTTCTTTGTACGTACTTATTTTAATAAGTATACATGTATATACAAATTATTTTTTACATAGAAAACAGTGTTATATATTTTAACAGGACACATTTTATACATAGATATAAAACATCATAATAGCGAGGGCCCGTCAAATATTACGCACATACCAATATTATTTACTCTTTGATAGCATAGATCCCTAGAACAATATTCGTCATAAATACATGTACATTTAGCAAATATTCAATATTCATTATTCATAATGAAATGAACATATATGCTGGCTTTGTAGACTTTACTAAATAACACCCCGTTCACCCAGAGCTGCGACTTTAGGACAATCATGCCGATCAAGCCACGATCTGAAAAAGTATTCGATCGGGGCCGATCGTCGTCGAAATCAAGCAATTTGGCAAATTTTGGTCTTCATTACGACTGTACTACAATGTTCCCACGTCCAACGCGCTGCTGACACGCTTCTACTATGATGTTACGCTGACCGCGCATCGCGTTTACTGCGTATGTACTACGCTGCCGCTACGACATTCAAGCTCGCACTACGACGCTACGCAGACCTAGAAGACTGTACGACGATTTCGCTACGACGGTGCCGATCATATCACGCTTGTAGTACGCTTCTGGTACGATTTTGGCGATGATATATATATCTTGGATTTCAAAAAATATTTTTCAATTACTTCCAAACTTCAAACATGAACGGACGTATTAATGCTGATCTGATTCATCTGGCTTTACTTAAGCAAGAACAAATATTGGTTGAAATTGAAATTGCACAGATTGTTAACAGGCGGAGCTGCAAATGATCGACAAGTAAAGTGCCGCCCTATATATGTAGTTGGCAGATTATGATTGGTCAAATAGCAGCGCTATAAAAACAAACTGCTACCTGACAGGTCGTGGTATGATCGTAGTAAGGTCATGGTAGGTCTTCGTAGGATCGTCATGAACGTAGAGAAATCGTAGTGGGAACGTAGTAAGAACATAATGGGAATGTTGTAGAAGCGTACTCGGTATGTTCCCGACTGTACTTCGATTTTACTGCGCTTTTACTACGATCATGAAGAACTATCCACGATGCTTTCGCGCTACGCTTGTTTTGAGCACGTTCAAAATAAACGTGGCGAGTGCGTAGAACTTTCCGATCATGAAGACGCTACCGCGATCATACTGCGCTTATGTAGACTCCACTACGTTTCTTTTGCGATTTGCAACGATTGGTCACGTTTTCGGCCACGCTTTGATCGTAGTAGAAGCGGCGTCTATGTGTGAACGGGGGGAGGGGGGGGGGGAGGTAAGGCTTTTGACTATCCAGTTATATGGTTTAAATTAATTCAGTATGGTGTGTACCCTGACCTTTTATTTGAACATTAATAGATTTTACCACAAACATTGACATGTGCTCTTTTGTTATCAAATATTTTGTGGTAAATTTCTAATTCTATCCACTAATTTGACAGGCCATAACCAGTCGGACAATCTGGATAAAAAAAGATGTTTCATTTTAAATCACTGCCATCATAAATTAAAAACTTTTTGTTAAAATTTCCTTCAAAAATAATGTGATATTTAAGTATGCTTATATTATAAATAGCATCAAGTTTACGATGTGCTGTTAAATTCTGTAACACAGATAAGATAAATGTATATAGCTAAATATGTTTTACATTAAATTTGTTGTGCCATTTTCAAAAGAAAACGTCCACATTTTATTTGTTTATGTTAAATATAACATCATTTTGTGATGTTCACATTTTTTTATCATTTTTGATATCAACTTATGCTAATATATTTGAGGTACATGTGTATAGCCTCCAATGTTCAAAGTTCATCCGATTTTTCAAAACAAATCTTCACAATTTTATTTGTTTGTGTTATAAGTAGTATGATCAAAGTTTTTTATGTCAACTTCTGTTTATATGTTTGAGGTACATTTATAAAGTTATCTTTGGTTTCGCCATTTTTATAAGAAAACTTTCATAATTTAATTTGTTTATATTAAATGTTGCAATATTTGTGCGATCTTTATAAATTTTTTACAGCAACTTATGTTGAGGTACATGTATATAGTTATCAACGTTAAATATTCAATTTTTGTGTTAGTTGTGTATGTTGTCATAACTTTATGCTTTTAAAATAAAGAAGGTTATTCACTGATCATTTAACCACAAATTGCAGATTGTTGTTCCTTACAACGGCCGTCATAAATATACTTTATATCATAAGTGGCTTAATATTTCGTGGAATAACGTCTAATAGATGAAAACAATATAAATAAAAGTGAAACATATAAGAAATACATTATCAGAAAAATCAAGTCCCTGTGGAAAAATCATTTACAGCAGGCCACTTCTATCAGTTAATACACAACTTCATGATTTTTTGTGTGTAAAAAAGTGTGAGAAATATCATTTTTATAAAGACACTTTTTATTGTAATTTAAATATAGTAAATACACAATTTCATGAATTTTTGTACATTTTTTGATAGTTTTTTTTTCCCAAAGATAAGTTGTTGTTTTTGTTTTTTTGTGTTTTGTTTTTTTGTATTTTCATTTTTTATGTTAGAAGAATTAGAGTTAAAACTGGGACCTTTTCTCACATGTTTTTACGTGGTTTTATATAATCTTTAGCCTACTATTTAGATCTTTTTTCACATATACATGGAACTTTTTTAAGTTACTATAGTTTTTGGAGTTATACTGTTAAATAGATTGTTAAATAAAAGTCATTAAACATGTTTGCTAGAATCATAAAAAGAATACGAATATATATGAACTAAACCAATTTGTTATACTGCCATCTTTAAACTTATATATATATATAGTAATGTAATGAATGTTTTGTTGCAACATGTTCATTTAAAAGCTTTAACCAAAT